ATTTCTGGCAAGTTGTTCTTCGGCTACATTTTGCTCTCTTCTTCTCATGCAAACTCTCTATGGGATATTCAGTTTTACTTGTTTTTTAAGATCGACGACGTGAACCATATTGACATAAGGTTTGGTATTGATCAGAAGCCCATCACTGGTATAATAGTATATTTATGCATAAATACGTGTGTATATATGATTATCGATGTTTAGAAATGTTAATTTCGCAAAATCCGCTGCAGTTCTATTTTAGAGATGCAATGGGTTTTATATTAAATCGTTTCACATGTTTAAGATTTATATGATTGTCCAGCAGCTTGCAGAGGATGGTTCTAACTTGTAATTTCCAAGGGAACGAGCCGGTTTGCCTCTGCTCTGTCCTAATCTATACATCGAAATTTTAAAAACCTTCTAATATTCAACGACTCACAGGCTATTTTCTTGTTAATACTCGGTAACAATCAAGGAATTTTTATTGTTTTGTTTAAAAAGCGATGAAGAAAAGATAAAAGAAGCCGAAATTTGTGGAATATGTTGAAATGTGCGTTGTCGGGTTTAGGAATCTAAGGTACTGTGAGCCGACAAAAGTAGAGATGTTTTTTTTTTTTTGCTAACAAAAGTAGAGATGTTGTAATAAAGATTTTGGTCAGGCAATCATAAAACCAAATCTTTGTGCAATTTAACAATGACACTCGTTATTAATTAGTTTATTACTTTTCTCTTTTAAATTTGTCTCAGCTTTTTTAGTTACGTGCATTATCATCATGTTCCTATCGTATCCTCTGTTTTCTTTTTTTATATAATATCTCCGGAGAATATAAAGAATCGGATAGGACAAGAACAAAACGTCGATGATGTGGTGGTGGCCTAGCAGTTTTCACTTGGAAGGAGTTGCTTTGTAGATTTAGGCCAAAGTTCAATTTTTCTCAAATACGAAATTATTTAACTAATTTTATTTGATCAGTCGAAATAGTGTCATGTTTTAGGCCCAATAGAAAACCTGGTGAGTGGGCTAGTCGACGGCTATACTCACCTTGAAAAAATTAATAGGGTGGTAAAATTTCGGATTACTCTCTGATATTTTTTTTTAAAAACGTTCTCTCAATTTTGATATGTATTTTACTATTTTCTAAAAACTATGTCACTTTCACACCTATCATTCATTCAAACTAGTAATTTGATTTTGGAAGCTGGTAATTTTGTTTTTTGGTCAGATTGATCATGTTTAGAGTAGCTATTTTTGGGGTTGTAGGTTTTTTTTTACATCAGTAAAAATATGTTATTTAAGAGATAATCTAATTTTTTACCACTACCTGCAACTTGAACATGTCAATTTAAAATTTATAAATTTTGTCATTTTTTT